TACATAGAAAAGTGCTATTAATAAAATCATTAACCTGGGATATCTACTTTTAGTGATTAGCAGTAATCTTTTGATGTTTGACTACATGTTTGTTTTTTGAACAAAAACTCCTATCTATATGTCCTGACTACTCCCTGACCTCTTTGGAGCAGTTCCTCAGTGCTGAGAGGCTGTCTCCCAGGCTATAGTCCTCAGTAAGGTCTCTGAACAACACACACACACACACACACACTCTTTTTAAAATATTCTTTTCCACTATGGTTTATCATAGGATACTGAATATAGTTCCCTGTGCTATACAATAGGACCTTGTTGTTCATCCATTCCATATATAATAGGTTACATCTACTAACCCAACTTCCCACTCCATTCCTCCCTCAACCCCCTCCTCCTTGGCAACCACAAGTCTCTATGAGTCTGTTTCTGTTCCATAGATAGGTTCATTTGTGTAATATTTTAGATTTCACATGTAAGTAATACCATATAGTATTTGCCTTTCTCTGACTTATTTCACTTAGTATGATAATCTCCAGTTGCATCCATGTTGCTGCAAATGGCAGTATTTCATTCTTTTTTATGGTTGAGTAATAGTCCATTGTATATATGTACCACATCCTGTTTATCCATCCATCAGTGGACATTTAGGTTGTTTCTATGTCTTGGCTATTGTGAATAGTGCTGTTATGAACATAGGGGGTGCATGTATCTTTTAGAATTCAAGTCTGAATAAAACATGACTTGGTACTTTTAGGTTGTACCTTTTTTTTTTCAATTGACCAGATTATTCAACAGATCTGGAGTGGGGCCTGATATTCTAACAAGCTCTAGGTGATACTGATGCTGATGATTCACAGGCCACACTTTGATTAGGAAGGGAGGCATGGATAAAGAAACAGAATAAAGTGTTATAGGAAATCTATACAGAGTACTGTGTGAGCACCAAAGAGCAACTATACTTTTGTGAGTTTGAAAAGGCTTCGTATAGAAAGAGCCTAATGAGCTGAGCCCTGTTCTCTGAGTGATTGCAAGGGGAAAGTCAAGAGGTCTACATTGTAGTTCAGTGATTATGGTTTGAGTTGAACAGTCCATCTAAACTTTCTGAGCCTCAATTTTCTCATCTGTAAAATGAGATTGAAAATGCCCAGACACTTCACAGTCCTAAATGAGATAATTATTTATTATTTTTGACCACACCACATGGCACATGGGATCTTAGTTCCCTCACCAGGGATGGAACCCGTGTCCCCTGCAGTGGAAGCACGGAGTCTTAACCACTGGACTGCCAGGGAAGTCCCAAGATCAATTTTAAAAACACTTAATATTTGCTCAGTTTAGAAGTTACAGTGAAATAGTATAAGAGGTTCTATTAATGAGCCTAACAAATTGACCTACAATTGACAAATGAAACTACATCAATCAATAAGAAAATGGCACTTAAGTCCTAATAGCCTCTTACATGTGTTTTCTCTTACTCAGTTGTCTATTTGTAGGTGGGTATATACCTTCACAACTGAACTACTTTAAAAGAGAACCATATTCACTTAGTTCAGCACAGTAATACTTAACATCCATAAAGCACCATTTCAAGGCACTTAACAAACATCAATTACTTGTCACACCACTTGCAAGTTACTTTTCATTGGTCCAGTTACTAGTGGACAGATTCAGCTGAAATGGAGAAGGGAGGCCCCAGAGGGAGGAGCAGAGCAGAGAGGAGGATGCTGGGGGCTATCTGCTACCTGTGCGCCTGCTCCTTCAACATTTATTCATAAGTGAGAGCCTGCCCTGATCAGGAAAACACCAAAACACTAGAAAAGGAAAAAAAAAACCCACTGTTTCTGAACATCTTGCTGGAGTGTGCCACTAAAAGCCAAAATGTCAAGGGAGAGAAATGAAGTAAAGGTTTACTGCCTCCCCAGCTGAGTGGGACTGATTGCCCCCCTCCTCAAACACTCTACCAAAAAAGAAACCCAAAACCATTTTCACAAAAAAAGTTTTCATTACTAAAATTAAAATGAAATTTGATTTTTTAAGATTATACTTTTAAAGGATGAAATATTTTCTAGAATGGATTTTGAAGGAGAATCATACCCTAATTATAATATCTTCTCTTCCTATGGAAAACAGAGTTAAAAATGAGAAAAAAAAGTTTAAACTCAGCATAGCAAGAATTATCCAATAAGCAGGAAGTAATTTTTGCTTCTGTCTTGTGCAGTTCTGTTTTTTTCCCCAAATGCTGTAAATGTACATGTAGAAGCTTTATACATGGAAATAATGATAATAAATGTTATTTTAAAAACTCACTAATCTGAAGTTTCTCTGATTTATGGGCTAGGAGAGGGAGAAGCTAGATGGAAAGGCTGGTAAATTTGGTAGTAATTTAAAAATAAGGTATACTTGAATAAATCTGAAAGTATGTCACAATTTGCTATTTTCTCAAATATGGAAGAAAAACATGCCTAATCTTAGTAAGTATTCAATCATAACAAAGTGTATCTTTTAACAAAGGAAACATGATACTGGAAATTCCTCAGATTAAAATAGGTTTTCTACTTCCTCTGCATTTCTCCAGAGAGCTTTGTACACACAACATGGCATACAGTTCATTTCTCATTAATATAAGACAGATTAGACCACTGTATTTTACTTTTATCATTAAAAAAGTTGTGTCATGATCAAATTTTGGTACACATATGAATAAATTTATACTATAGAAGTGTTCTTCAAAAATTAGTGTTAAATCATTTTCATTTTGACAATATTTATTACAAATCACATTTTATAAACACTAGATAAATTACATACAAAAGCTAGACATAAATATATAGAAGTAAAAAGCAGTACTATTGACACAGAGAAATAAGCTAATATAATGTCTAAACATCTATAACTTAATAAAATTACTAAGTTTTCAATGCTAATACATTTGCATGACTTCAAAAGCTATTCAGAAATAAAATGTATAATACTAATTATAATCAAGGTTTAAAGTGATAGAAACAACAACCATAGCACTACTTATTTTTAAAAATCTTTTCAAACATTCAGAAGCAAGAACTGTCCTAAAAGACAAATTAAATTTGGGTAAAAGCTCTTACCTAACTGAAGAGTATAAAATTTTAGGCTTTGGTTAATAGACACTAAATTTAGTGGAAATTTTTAAATTAACATCTCCCTTATATGTAATATTCCTGAGTTTTTGCTAAAATACCATAGATAAAGAACTCATTCTACAGCATTGCATAACACTGTACTATATTTTCAGAAGACAAAAAGTATTATGATTTTTAAAACTGTGAATAATGAGATTTAATAATATAATTAAGATCAGAAAGAATATGCTTAATTTAGCTTACCTATGAGAAAAATTAATGCCCTCTGACCACTATTTGGCAAAGCTCATTTGTAAATTATGATCAAAATTATATTAAACCCATCACTGATTTTTATTTGCATCTTATAAAATCACTTTGATTTTAATGAGAGGTTATGTAGTATAGAATGCTCTTGTAAAAAGACTGAAATGATATGATGCTAATATAAGGTGAGGCACAGGGTAGGTGGTCAACATTACTTATTAGTTTAAAGTGAAAAGTCTTTTAATGTATTATTTCTGAACATTGGACATACAATACAGTAGTTGTAAATGAATCTGAAAATATCTGCAAAGAGTTTAAACATGAAAATAAATTGTTAGTAACAATAGTAAGAGGAATTTTTACAAGTGATTTTTTTCAGTCTTAGTTTTATCAAAATAGAATTAAATTTAAAAATAGACCTATGAAAGCTAACTTCCAATTAGCTACTCTGTATGGAGAAGGAAATGGCAACCCACTCCAGTATCCTTGCTTGGGAAATCCAACGGATGGAGGAACCTGGCAGGCTATATAGTCTATGGGGTTGCAAGAGTCGGACACGACCAAGTGACTAAGCACACAGCACGTGATGTAGATGGCAGGTTCAGTCCCTTCTCACAAGATCAACCTATCAAAATCTTCTGATTACTTTCCGTTACAACAACCCTCTTAAATTGGTTTTCCGTGGGCACTAAATCAATGCACCCAATTGGTCCAAGAATGTGGATTTTTAAACAAGTAGCTCCCTCCTGTCCCCTGGTAAATTATTATGTTCAAGTTGATTTGGAAAATAATGCTTTAAAGCAACCAAAATAATTTTTATCAGACTTGAACATTGATTGATAGGAATTTATCTAGCTTCTTAACTATCTGCATAGCTTATCAAGATGCTTAAGTATTTCTTACCTAAAAATGCTGCAAGGTTTTGTTTTAATTCTAATAGCTCGTAAGAGTTGATAAAACAGTAATCACCTTTGTGAACTGCTGGTGATTGGGCTCTATAGTTTAAGTATTCCATACACCTTTTCCTACCAGGAAGCAGGAGAGTCATCTAGTCTTTAAACAGTTATACCAACATGAGTTACTTGCAAAACTGGTTATCAAGTACCTCATTAATTAAAAAATTCAATTTACAAAGTATTAAGTCAACTCTGTATATAAAATCTCTTTTTCCATATTATGGAACTAGGAAGCAAATATTTAATTGGATATGTATACATGAAAAATGTACACAGGTTCATTTTAACTGATCAGCTAGTAAGGAATCCTTCTAAATTAAAAAAGAAAATGGAAAATATTCTCAAATAAGTATTATAGAGTACTGAGTAAAGTGTAAATTAGAGATTTGAAAGAACATTTAATTAGGATTAAAACAATGAACTGCTAGTCACTTCTGTTTTCTAATAACAGTATCATATGCAGAGAAAACCTACAAGCTCACTGAACTGGGTTAAATGGTTTTTAAGCTGATTAAAACTACTTAATTTAAAACGAACTCTTTTCAAACCTCACATAAATGATGCAGTATTCAACGATTTATTTTAAAAATGACTAACAATTTAAGCATCAGTTTTAAAAAAAAGCCATTGCTAACACACAAATTGAAAAGGGCTTAATACAAAGTCCTTGGTTCCGCATTGCACTTCATATTCCCATCTGTATATCAGCAAAATTGTAGAAGCTGTCTACATCTCCAGGTGCCGTCTCCTTGCTTTCTGATACAAATATCTACGTTAAATGTAATAGAAAAAATAACATATTAGTAATCCCCAAATTCCAAAGCCCACATCCTCCACAAAACAGTCAAAAGCTTGCTATTTAAAAGAAATTCAAGTACATCATTTAATATTTAATCTGGATTTTCTGTAGAATTCATGCAGTATAGTTTCAATTAGCTATGATGTAAATGGAGCTCTTTTAAAAGCATTTATGATATAATTAGTCTTTGCTTTATAATACTTTGGTTGTATTTTACTGCTCTTGGAATTTCAGTTTTTAAAATATGTAAACCAATATTATGAAAGCTACTGAATAAAGAGATTTAGGTAAAGAACTTTTAATTTCTTCTATTTTCTGATAAGAATCTCAATAGACCAAGAAGCAAAACTTGAGATTATTTTTTTCAAAGCTGGTAAAGATACTTTACTAATTTTAAATTAACTATTTTCCAAACATCAACAAAGCAGTACTCAATAGAACCCTTCAAAAACAGCTTTTATAAATGTCTGCCAGAAATCAGAGGAGACCTGAGTTCCATTTATCTTTATATAACTAGCTGAATGAGGCTGACAATTCAATCAACCTCTCTGGGCTCCATTTCCACATCTGTAAAATGAGAAAGTTGGATTAGATAATCTTTAACTCATTCAGATCTAAATGCTCCAAATCATATAAACATTTTCTCTCTGTTTCCTTTTCTATTCAATCTGATTATATTTGCCCTCTCCCTTAGTACTTGTTGCAATGATCAAATGAGACAAAAGACAAAGTACTTTAAATTATGCAAATTCAAAGGCCCATAAGCTAAATCAGACTACAAAACCAAATGTTTCCTCTCAGATATTTATATAAAAAATTATATATACTCATTTAATCCTCTTATATGTTTGGTTTCTAAGCTATATTAAGTTAAAATTTGAAATTCTTAGACTCATCAATCACATCTAGAAAACACCTACATGTAATGATTTCTAGATAAAGCTCAAGTTTTGATGAAGTATTACTGAAGCAAATAAAAGTGAACACTGGGCAATAGGCTTGTCCATTTAAAGTATACAATCTGAGAAATGTAACATTTTCAGCATATCACTATTTTTATTTATTTGCACACTGTGCGGCTTGTGAGGTCTTAGTTCCCTGACCAGGGATGAAACCTATGCTGCCTACACTGGGAGCACAGATTCTTAACCATTGGACCACCAGGGAAGTCCCAACATATCACTGTTTTTAAAAAAGGAAGAACTTGAAGAGACATTTGGTGAGACATTTGACTTTAGAAACATGTATGATTGAGATTTTTAACATGTAGACACTTATTTTGTAAATTTTTAAGCTATTAAAATTTCAGTCTGGTAAGGAAAAACCAAAGCTTAGTTCCCAATTGTTTACCAAAAGTTCTAAAAATCATGATGTGCTAAAAGTACTATTTAATTGTAATGAAAAGAGAAGGAAATGAAAGGTTCAATTGAAATATAGTCAATAGTATTTTGTACCTTGGTCCCCCTGAATGTCTCGTTGACAATAAGTTGACATCCTTCTACAGCGCCATCTCCATTGAACTCCAAGGCAATAACAGGACCTATAAGCAAACCCAGGAAATGTCTTATCATGAACACAAATCTATTCTCAAATTAATCTTTTTATTCTTCCTTGAAGAATCTACAGCCTTTTCTTTGGGGGTAAGAGAAAAGAAAGAAGAGAGTAAACAGATAGGACACGTCACTTCAGCTACTTCTTACTCTAATCATAAAACAAATTAACATAGAGTCTCATCACATGACAAGTAGCTTCAGTGCCACAAAAGGTCTAGTGTCACATTTTTAAGTGTTGCAAATAGTCTGGCTTTTCTGGTTTTCATTCTTCTATGAAAACCATAAAAAGTCCACCCATTTAGCAGTACAAAAAATAGCTGATAAAATGACAAATAAGATCAAGAGCTATTCAAGTCATTTTGCCAGGCAGCCAGTCTTTCTTTCAACTCTCCTACTTACAGCCAAGTTTTGGGCCACTGATAATGAAGCTAAGCCAAGTAGGAATTGAGGCCAGGTACCAAAAGTCATGATCATCTGAAAGTGTTTTCTTGAATGTACCATAAAACTATATTCTAGAACCAAAGAACAAGTTTTTATTTTTTAATTCTCTGGATAGAACATTTGTGCCTCCTTTTCCATACTTAATTTGATTACTTTTAAACCACCTGTACTTGAAATTCTGGTGTAAAGATTAGTGATTCAGTTTGGGCTTGGATTTAAATGTAGCACTGGCACTACTGGTGTCAAGTTGTTGGCAAACATGGCCATAAGTGAGCCAAACAAAACAAGCCTTTCAATTCAATTCAATTTTTTTCAGTTATATTCCTAATAGATTTGCTCTTTATCTCCCAGTAATGTAGCAGTTCTGACCTCCAGGAAATTACAAATTTCTTGAAAAAAAGACATAAATTTATTAAATAATATGGAACAAGGGAGAATAATGAAGTATTAAGGAATGAAATACTAAGATGAATGTAGACATGTGCCTCAGAACAAGGCACAAGAAGGAAAGAAAAGGGCTTGTGATTTAATACAGACAACAAATACCGAAAAGGCAGGCTATGTCACAGTCAACTATACAATTAGATAGAGTGAACAAGTTTAAGGGTGAGTTTTGGCAGCATCACAGTATGTAGATCAAGATAGATGCTGAGTAAAGAAGATAACTGAGGAATATTTTCTCAGAAAAAAAAATGGATGAGTCTATGTCTGAGGCAAGAAATGAGTAAGATCAACCTGGAATATCTTGTTGAGCCAAAAAACAATCAGGCTATCAAAGACCAATAGGGTTTTATCAAAAGGATATAGGAGCCAGCTTGAAGAGGCTACTAACGGCCAAAGATGATACACAGTGAGATCATAAGAAATAATGATGGCAATTTATTAAAACATACTGAATGTGAGCTCATAATAACATTCAAAAAAGACACAAACAAACAAAATTCATTGGACACCACTGAAGGTTGCTAGGGTACCAACTTTTTACTCTGAAAATTGATGTTTAATGATTTTTCCTTTATTTACTCTGCATTTCTGATATGAAGCATATTTCAAGTTAGTCAAATAGCTCAGTGTACGAGAAGTTCTGTTAAAATGCAGAGGTAGTGACACAATTAGAAAATGATCATTCTGAAACTGTTAATAAAATACCTGGATCAGGCAACAATCATCACTGGCTTTAGCATCCCACAGGGAAGACTGACAGGAAACTACAATAAAAAGATTGTCACCACCTGAGCCTAAGAATCTTAGCATCACTAGAAGTACAACAATCAAACATTATGTGCCTTCTCATTACAGAAGAGAGTACAACCTGTGAAATATTCTTGCCCTCCACCCCCCCCACCAAATACTCCTTAAACCTGAGTGTAAACAAGGCTTTGATTTAACTTCTAATCCACAAGAACTACAGAAGGACAAATTAAACAAACCCATTCATTCTATGGGACAACTGACCAGGTTTCTTTTACAAGACAAAGGCATGAAACAAACAGAGGACGGGGAACACCTGTTTCTGATTAAGAGTGATATAAGATACAAAACAACCACATCCAGTGAGTGAGGAGGCCAATTTTAGATCTGGATCAAATTAATTGTAAAAATACATAAAGAATGTTTTTAGACAATTAGGGAAATTTGAATATGGACTAGTCAGTAGATATTAAGAAATTGTTAATCATGTTGGATGTGATAATACAGACCATTTAGGAGAACATTTGTGTAGTATATAAATTATATATTTATTTTAAAAGAAAACATTCATTTTTAACTTCATTTTGTTTAAGACAAATACTGAAATATTTAGGGATGAAATGACAAGACCTATCAAAATTTGATTAAAATACTTCAGCAGAAAAGAATACAGATTATTTTTAAAAGTATGGCAAAAAGTTGATAAAACTGGGGTATGGGTACACATGGAGTCATTGGAAGATACTTTAGAGTAGAGATAGCACATCTAGAAATTTGCAAAAAAGAGTTTAAAAAAGCATTTTAAACTGAATAAATATTGAACTAAAAAGAAAAAGTTGATAATGTAGGGTTTCCAGTTTTGCAGAGAATGGAAAGTTTTAATTAAGGTAGAATGGAATATGCTTTTATTTAGGATCACTAAAAGATACATACACACACACACACACACACACACACACACACACACATATATAAAAAGTCAGACAGTTATTACTAAAAGTTTCTGCATTCTACAAAGACAATAAAATCTAGAATTCAGAAATACAGTTTTGGTAGAATTACCCAAGTATGTAACTTGGTGGCTATCCTTTGAATAGAACATTAAGAACCTCTGATAAGTGACTTAATCTGCCAACAAAGAAACACCAACTAAAAAGGTGGACAAGTGTATCAATTTTGATTAACATGTGTGCATTACCCTAGATTTTAAAAAAACTACACCACCAACAATGTTGTTTTTAAGCAGTTCTAGTCATCTCTAGTCATCTAATAACCAGGACTACAATGACTTCAAAGTGATTCCTTGAAGTGATTATTTCAAACTGAATTATGAGGTCAAGTAGATCACTGGTCATGTTTTTAGTGTTTTAATGTGACTGTCTTATCAAATAGCTTGCAGTAGCTTTAAATCTAAATATTTGAACTGTTATGAAAAAAATGTGAGACTCTGAAGTAAACAAAAATGATTTCTGGATATCCTATCTAATGAACTCTGTGTTATTTAACATGACCTTGGAACAAGCCATTATCACGTTTCAGTTAGATTACAGCAACAGCCTCCCAGCTGGTCTCTCCGTTTTTCTCTTAGAGTAACCAGAATGATAAAAGCTACATTTTAAAGGGACCATGGCATTCCTATGCTCTAAAACCTCCAGTAAAATGTATTTTTCTCATTTTTAATTGTTCTAAAAATAATGGACAGTTTAGGGAGCAGTTGTCTCAGGATTACCTGAGATGCTGTCCCAGGCTTGAAGTCCTAGAACTTTCCACCCAAATAAAACACAACTCTTAACATTTAGGTTGTGGATATATTTTTCTAGTTGACACTTAAAATTTTTATTTATTTACTTGGCTGCTCTGGGTCTTACTTGCAGCATGTGAACTCTAAATTGTGGCATGCAGATCTCATTCCCTGCCCAGGGATCAAACCCAGGCCCCGTACATTGGGAGTGTGGAATCTTGGCCACTGGGCCACCAGGGAAGTCCCTTATTGACGCTTAAGGTTCCAATTCTCACAAATATGGATCAATCTGTACCACAGAAGGACAGTGAATGTGAAAAAGAAGAACTGCAGAAAGAACCTGAGGACAATGAACATGAAAAAGAACTGCAGAAAAACTTGAGGACAGTGAACATGAAAAAGAAGAACTGCAGAAGAAACTTGGTTTTACCCTACACATGCATAGCTTAATACTCAACAGCAGAATCAAGACAGAACTCTAAGCAGAAACTTAAGAGTTATTTATTTGTAAAGCTGCTCCTCACTGTTATTTCCTATAAAACCCATTTTCCTACAACCAGAGAAACTGATCTTATTCCTTTCAATTGAAGAATACCATCAGGTTTTCCTGGTATCACTTTTCTTGAAACTTAAGTCTGCAATTGTCTCAAGGCAGAATGCCAAGATCATCAGGGGACTCAATTTGTCTCTCTCTACTTAGAGAAACACATTCTAAAAAGGATTCTGAAAATGGCATTTTACGTTTATTTCAATAATTTGAAAATTATTTCAGAAAAGATGTACAGAGAGCTTACTATAAATTGTTAATTTCATTTTTTATAAAGAAAGATTATAGTTAGGAGTGCACGATAACTGTTAAAGAATTTTTCCAAAGTTAAAAAATAATATTTAACTAACAGTCTTTGAGAAAAATAGTTCATATTATCACACTGATTCCATCTTTTATTGAGAAGCTCTCTTGAAGTCATGTTAAGAATCTTTGAAAGAGAAATAATGCATAAGTCAGGGAGAAGGGAGGGAAGAGAAGGGCAGTAAAAAAGAAAGAAGAGGAACAAAATAGAGAAAACTAGTAGGAAATGCTGGCAACTGTGGAGAAGGAGGAACAGTAAGGGGGAAAAGGAGAAAAGAAGAGAAGAGGAGTAAGAAGAAATTGAGGAAACAATGCTACTTCATCTCTAAGATTGTGAATAAGGCTTGTCCAGAACTCTCATTATACTTGTGTTGAAGCTTGTATTATCAAAAAAGGAGAAAATAAACCCAGCATAAATGACATGAGAAACAAACAAATGGTAAATGAAAATATTTAGAAATAACGATGGTAAAAAGTTTAAAACAGTAGGATGAATATAAAAAAGAAAAATAAAAACTTTTTCTTCCATTAGTGAATTAGTGAAGTCACTCAGTCGTGTCCAACTCTGCGACCCCATGGACTGTAGCCTAACAGGCTCTTCCATCCATGGGATTCTCCAGGCAAGAATACTGGAGTGGGTTGCCATTTCCTTCTCCACGGGATCTTCCTGACCCAGGATCGAACCCAGGTCTCCCACATTGCAGGCAGACGCTTTAACCTCTGAGCCACCAGGGAAGCCCGATAAGCTTTCTTTAAAACTTAAA